TCTAGACGCACGCAAATTACAACTTTTTTCAATGGAACTCGTGAAGATAATCACCCCAGTCCCCTACATTTTCCCTAGTAGTGACCCGCCCCTGCAATCGTTGCACGTCCTCTTTAAAATCCCTTACGGCTGTTCCATTTCAAATGTTGGTGCAAAGGCACGACGTTTAGTGTCTTGGTTACTCTTGTAAGCAGAGACTTCCATACCTTTCGTATCTCGTCAAGACACTATCCTGACCTATTGTCCATCTCGTTAGCGCACTCATCCTCGTGTACATCCTCGCATGAAACACCCTCTCACCTTCTTCCATTGGGTCAACATTTTCCGGCTCTTGGTGGCCGCTGGGGTTTCTGCACGGTGCATCCTCAGCTCTGGTAGCATTCGACACCTGACCATTTCCTGGGTCCCACGTCAGCAATGTGGACAACTGCAGCTCGCATACGCATTCGTTACCTTGTGCTGAAGCTCCTCCGTGATCCGAATTGGATGGAGTAGTGCCTAGAAGAAGGGTTTACTCGTCAGTTCTAGTCGCAGCACATTTCCATTGCACTGGCTCACCGGTTGTGTTGGAAGACATGCTGCTCTCGGATGGATCACGACAGTGATTATCAAGGTAGTAATGGTAAGGTTGTAGATGACTTGTACTGGCTGGAATTGTCGGCCTTCAGATGTGAAGGCTTACCACCTTTGACCCTTGCAGAATGCTATCCAGGGACTCGTTCTTTGAAGCACAGTAGTTATGGGTTCCTCCGTACGGATTACCGGTTATACGATAATTTTTTGGACGGGCTTACCAACGACTCGGCGCCTCTCGCCTTATTATGCGCTGATCACTTTGGGATTCCGACTGAATGCTGGTCTCAATTTCTCATACTTCTTGGCCATACTCACGTGTTCGGTTGATGAGTCGCGACGGTACGTATCCTTTAGCATAGCGCACACATAGATTGTAGTCGTTATGCTCGAATACACTGATTTCTCGCCATCATTCACCAATGTAATTTTAACGAGAAGAAGTGAAATTGAGATATGGGCATGTCGTCCGCCGCAAACAAGAAATAGCGAGTAGGGAAAATGTAGGGGACTGGGGTGATTATCTTCACGAGTTCCATTGAAAAAAGTTGTAATTTGCGTGCGTCTAGA